ATTTTTGCATCCAAAATAATTCTTCTTGCAACAACACTTCCTCAAACTCTTTGTGCATGTCCATTTCTAAATTAATGAGATATTTATAGTGGATTTGTTCCAACGTCTTCTGGATGCCAGCGATACAGGCCAACAAATGCTTCTTCTTTTTGAAAATATGACCAAAGACGATGGTGTCCCAATCGTTGTCCTATTTAGAGAAGTGCTCAAGGGTGGCCTGGAAAGAGCTATCTTTCTACCAACTATTATAGACGAACATAAGGAAGTAGGGATGAGTAAGCCACGTTGTAAGAAACTGAAAATGTTGGGGTTTTCGGCTTTGCATGTGACTCCCCCTAATATTAATCAGGAGAGGTCGATGATCCGATTGAACTTTAGGCAGGTGTTGCACTAAAGTCTCGGGAAAGGTACTCAACCATGCCATATTGGCAAGAGCCCTGTCGAGGTATTGGAAGAAAGTGCCTTTGCGACAAGTGAAAGCAGGGCCTACATAGTCCACTTGAGAGAGGGTGTTGTGGCTAATAAACTGAAAAACATACATGTACCCTTTAAAACTTTTCCTAACCCCACCCCTCTTGTTTGAATTAACCAAAATCACATTAAAGTCACCGGCAAGCAACCAAGGGCCATCAATAATTGTACTAAGCTAGTTGAGAAAGCCTTATAAGTGGCGACATTTCTGTACTTTGGGGCTCCCATAGACAGACGTGAATAAAATCTTACGACCATCTTCATTCCTGTGGATCTCGGTGTGAATGAATTGACTATTTTTAACCAAGATATTAACTTAATAGGGGTCATTTCAGAGGAGTCAAATACCACTAGAGAACCTAAGAGGTTCCACCTGGTGAGAGCAGTTAAAGCCCAGGCTACGAATAATCTTGTCAGCTTTATTCCCGGCAATATGTGGCTCCATAAGGACTGTAATTTTCAGGCATGTATTGACGGGTAAAAGCCCGAAAAATCCAGCTGAAATCAGGGCTCGCCGCATCTATGTGAGGATTTTGTGTTCCATGGATAAAAGTAGGAGGGAGATAAGGTAGCTAAGGGAGAACATCAAAGGAATCGAGAACGAGGCAAAATTCTGCGTGACCATATCAGATCACAATGCTTATAGGCTCGCCGAGCGAGCTGGTGCTAACCTTCATCTCAAACCCCTCCTGTGTCCCACCTAGAAGAGATGCAATTGCGAGTTTTGATGCCTCTGTAACCTCATCGTAATATTTCTTCAGTTTCAGATTGCAACAAGAGACCTTGTTAACCCTGATGCCAGACAGACGCTTGTCTACTGGTCGAGAAACTTTCTGAAGGGTGTTGCTCGAGAGCTTAGTGCCAGAACTAGAAGTGGTAGCCAATGTGACATTATTGTCTTGCCCGACCTAGTTCTCTTTAATTCGAATCGTAAAATACTTTTGTTTGTCGAGGATGGAGCTGATGTGTTGGATCGTCATGTGCGGGCTAGGGTTAAAAGATAAGCATATTAATCTCCTTAACTTGGCCTGCGTGGTCAAGATAATTTAGGCTGCCACTTGTTGAGAAGAGGTTTGAATCAAGCCCGAGTTTGCCACTAGCCCACTATTTTTGTCCAGGTTAGCAGTTAAGGGGCTATGCTTCGTTGGGCCTATTTGGGATTTGCTTGGCCCATCACCGAGAGGTGCATCTCCTTTTTTCTCCTGCCTATATTTAAGGCTTTTCTCCTTCTCTCCTCCTATCACACCCATTTCCAATTCTTGAAAATCTTCCCCCACTGAATTTGCTTGCAGGCTGTTAGAGTCGAGATTGACGTCGCCCATTTCGACAATCAGATCAAATCTCGATCTAGAGCCATTTCTTCCATGATTCACTGAAGTCTCCTTGTTCTTGGGTAAGTTTCATTTTCTGGTATCTTTCCTTCCCCGGCAGGTCACCTGCATTCAAGGGTCGAACTTTTCTTCCGGCGCCACCGTGTTGCAGTAGGTCCGCTGGTTGTTTCCTTCTTCCGTTACCATTCCACTAGGGCGTCCTTGGCCATCCTAGGGTAGTGTTCTCGAAGATGACCATAACACCCACATTCAAAGTAGATGACAGGTTATACTTAACCCCTTGCAAGTGTCATTCAATCATAATTTTGAATATCAGTGGTTTCGTGAGGTCCACCAAAATGCAAGCCTGGCAAACTTCCCTCTCTCAGTAGTTTTTATGTTGTAATCGATCTGCACAACTGTCCCGGTTACCTTAGCAATTGCTCGCAAAATGCTTTTGTGGTAATATTGGATTGACAATCCAAAAAACCAAACCTAGGCAACCACCGATGCCACACGATCCTCGCTCACCGAGAATGACGATGTCTATAGCTGCACAGTCAGATAGTGTCCATAGATGACCCAAGGACCACCAGTTAGAGTGTATGTGAAGTCATCTGCATCACTGAACTTGACTAGGTAGCAGCCATTTTCCAGGTCCACCAGTTGGAAGGTCCTTGTCGGTCACCAGAGACTTTGAAGTCGGCCAAGTAGGGGCCTATATCCAATTATTGTGCCCAATAATATGATGATCGTAGAATTCTTCATGGAGTGAGATAGGTAGTTATGAACTCTGTCTAAGAACGAGATAGTGGGATAGTCTCCACTCGACACGACCACCGCATCTTCCTCATGAATTTCAAAGTCTTCTCTTTTTTGTTCATGGGCTTTGGTGTTGGTGAGCTTATCCCTGAATAATACCCTGTCTCATCCCCAAGCTTGGAATTGCCCTACTCTGTTTGGAGTGATGTCCACTTGATAACCCTTGTCTGATG